TAGATAAGATCCAAGTAGTTTGATAGATTAGTGCATGTTATCGTGAAGTCCGGAACAAATCAATTGACCATGACTATATCTATCAAAATGTCAAATAAGACTACAAAAAATAACCGAAATAATAAAATAGTTCATGATTGAAGAAAACAAGAGTTATTCAATACTCAAGTGAATGAAGTGCAGCTAGACTTTAGCTGAAAAAGTGCAGAAAACAGAGGCAATCTGGAAGCAAGAATCCAGAGAATGAATTTTATTACTGGGTTCCTGCTTCCAAGCTCCTACTATTTTATGGATTTTCCTGGCAGCAAGGAGAGTTTTTTAACAGAAATTCGTCTGAAATCCGCGACTCCCTAGATCAGAATGTTTAAACTGGCTACATATGTGTAGTTCGATTTTTCGAATAAGACTGTTTAGACTTCTCTTCGTTCAATGTCATGTTTGCTTTCAATGTACATAGATAAGAAGGAAGAAAATCAACTGGTTTACATGAAATGCATTCAATCGTATAATCATATGCTGCTGAATTTCATGTTATATGATGAGTTCTACAATATGAATCGTGATAAAGGTGACATGCAGAATATCATGAATTACTCATCTCGACATATGTATGTCATTTATTTCAAAGAGACACTGTAATATCTGATGAAGATCAATTCTATCTGAAAATGAAGTAAATAAGAAATAAGATAAGAAATTTTTTTTTTGAATCTATCTCCTTATCTCACACAAATAAATTCATCAACGATGTATACATTGCATAAAAGCACGCAACACATATTCAAGAAAAAATATAAGATCAACGACAATTATATTCCAACTGAGAAAATTATTTTATGCAAATTCATCTATGTTTTATTAGGTCATAGGTGATTCAATGATACTATACTTTGCTTTACTTTCTCTGTTTTATTTCACTTGCATTTCCTACCATTTCTTCGTTTAAAGTCTGGAAGGATGCAAAAGATAAATTAATGCATCGAACCATGTCGAAAAGAATGAGCCATAAACAAGTTGTTGGCTACTGTATGTCGAACTCATATTACGAACATGCATATCATTTCAAAAATGTATTTATAATATTATAATAATAGATCACATGCATTCGTTCTGCTTTTCCATGTGTCTCGAGCATGTTTTCGTTGCATGATCAGCTAATAATTGATGCTGACGAAAACGTTAAAAGATATGTTTACATCTCATTTTCTTCCTTGACTTTCATGTTTCAGAAGAACTTAAAATTTTGTGGTGCTTTCAAAATAAATAATACCTAAATATTAACAAACATAAAAAAATCAAGTCATAGAGTAGATTTCCCACAAGATCAATATCATTAGGACTATCGAATACAGTCAGCCTTGATTTTGACTATCTTCTTTCTTAAGTTTCAAATTAATATCAAATGCAATAAAAAAAAACATTAACTCAGCAACGAAGTCATATTGAAATATAAATAAAAAATCAATTTTCAAAGTGAATTTCCTACTTTATTTTCATATCTTAAATCCTTATTTGCATAAATCATTTCGCTATGGTATGTTACAGTTGGCAATAAATTTATCATTCAATAATATGTTTATCACATTCTATCGAAGGCTGAAGACAGTATGTTTTCTGTGCAGAAAAATAGATTACACGGCAACCAAATCAATTTTCCTAGTCTATTGTTCCTTCATTAATAAACAATAATAGATACAAAAATTTGATTTATGAATGAACGACTTGATTAACTGCGTCGTTGCGTGTCAATTATTCCTATTGTTGATAGGGATGTGACCGAGTCAGCATACTTATGCTTCTGAACTGTAATTCATATATAGAATATTATGCCATCTTTCGGATGAAATTTTTCTCAGTGATGATTCGTTTTTTTTTCATGTTGCTGAATGTACAACTATGAATAGCCTTGAAGAAACAGTTGATAGATGAAGGTTAAATTTATTTTACTTTGTGAGTATATCTCCCAGTGTTTTGTAATATCTAACTTTCTTTTTAAAATAAAAATCAGGCGGATAAACTAACATTACGCACAAAGTTGAATGTCAAATACTTTTCTGAACTAAACACTACAAACTATTTGTATTCCCAAATATTGCAATGGATTAAATAAATCATAAAAACTTTTATTTTCTCAATACTGTCAAATAACTTAGCAAATCATGTTTATTCCAATGAATTTAGTAGACATATATATTTACAATAAAAATCTAAGCAGCTGTCCATAAATTGAATTTAGATTAGAACATAAGCTTTGAATTCTTACTGAAGTTAAATATAAACTATCTTATATCGGTTGAAAGTATATTTTTTTCATAACATTTATCAGTAGTTAAATATATCTTTTTTGTACTTCGACAATAGAAGCATTTATTTACATACTGTATCATAATAGCGAAATAAAATGGATATATAATAGAAAGAATGTCGATTAAACCATTGTATTAATGTATTAACACTAGAATTAGAAGTGATGTATTGTCTGCGAAGTTGGCATCATCGTTTAAAACTGTCGATTGTTCAAATTTTTTGATTTTCTTTAAGTGTACAATTAGTTACTCTACTATTTTTCATTGCTAATTATAAGTAAAAGTGCAAAAGCAAAGACTTTCACACAACCAGTATCTCGATGTTTCAATATCGATCAGCGTTGTGGTAGTCATTTTTTCGGTATAAATACCAACATTGTACATCTAGAATTATTGAACATTCACCCTTGTCATAGTGTAACTGCAAATACCTTACTAGATTCTGTAAAAAAAAAACAAATCAATCGAATGATTACGTATCCAATATGAAGAAGTACGTAATAGTGAACAATTAATAGAAATAAATTTTTCCATGATGCATCTCGTATGTTTAGCATCTCAAGAGACTTAACTTTCTTGTTGTATATGTGCAAGAAACAGTCTTTGGTTTATTCATCTATTTCCATTTTTTTTAATCTTTGAAATGAACAATATTATCGTACATGATACTACACATAGTTCCCGAATCTATGTTTCATTCTCTTGATTGAAAAATCTATCGCACAAGTCAAATACTGAACGTCATCTTTCTTATATCTTGTGGCAAGATTTACTAGATTTGTTTAAGGACTAGTCATTTTTCTTTTTTAATTAATATATGTACAAGAAAAATTGAACATTTAATTTCTAACTGTTTTAATCTTTTCTTATCGTTTGTTTTTGTTTAATATTCGTGTGCATTTTGTCTTTTATTTCTCGAACTTGATTTATATTATTCATATATCTATATTTTATCTCTCATAATCTATATTAGAATGTTTTCGCTGTACATTTTCTCAAGAATAAGTTTCGTTAAAAAGTTTTCTTAAGCCTGCAATCACATTCTACATATACTAAATCAGAATGAAGATTAAAAACAGTTGTTCAATATATTTCATAAGACATTTTATTTTGTCGATCTATTTCAAAACAACAATACTGGCATGAAATCTTAGAAGATTCTAGAAATCGATTTAGTTTTATAGAGCTTATGAGGTGTTATAAAAAACGTTTCTTTAAGGTTGAGATAAAACAAGTATAATGTTAATGATTCTTAAAAGATTTATACACATTACTGAACTTTAAAGATCCTATGAGGTACTAATGAAAATATGAACCTTATAGTAAATCTTAATGAGTTCTTCCAGACATTTCGTCTGATTCTATTACTAACAAATGTTTAATCGAGTATTCAAAATATCATTGATATCCATCAAGTAAATATTGATTTTACCATAGCCTTGCTCATTAATAGAATCGAGTATCAACACATTAAATAGAACTAGATTTAAAATACTGGAGTACATTGCACGAAATATCAATTTATTACCTTTGTACATGCTCAAGATAACAATAAATATATGTTCAGTGAATTTTGCGACTTTCTTCAGCATCATTAATAATTGATGAAATAAAATAGCATTTAGATTTAAAAAAAAAACGATTTTCCTAGTTAAAATACCAAGATGCAAAAGCATTTAAGAATTCGACACCATCATATATACACAGAGCTGAAACGTATAAAAGCAATTTTAATACAATCATACTAGATCGTTTTGAGTATCTGTTCTAAGTAAACCGTATGATTCATTTTATTGTCACCTTGAAGTGTATCGATAATAAATTTCTCTCTGCATTATAATGTCAAATGTATGTTCTACTAATTTTAATGATTTTTGAAAAAAATTATAATAATCGCCTTCAATTTTTGCCAAGACAATATTCTGTTGCTTCTACTCAAATAACAAACATGACCGAACACTAATTGTTGTAGTATTTTTTGATTATCACGCTTTTGTTTTAGACATTGTTTACTATTCAAACTATAAGTTATTGCTGATTATTGTCATCATCCATTACTTCTTTTTTTTTTTTTTTTTTTCGTTCGATCAAATCAATACATAACCGATGCTTCTTACAATAGTAACTAAATACCAAACTTAGACATATTTAAGAAAAAAACGCATCTGGTTTATTTTTGTCCTTTTTTTGCCATATATATTAATCATACGTCGTAAAAAAAGCAAAAAGCTTTTCTATCTTCGTCTGTAATTTCTTTTTTTTCTCCTTTCTTTCTCTAGCTGATGCGTTTTCTTGCTTGCTTGTAATATATAATACATAATAGCACATAAAGCAAGCCCGCGATGTAGTAAAGAATAGAACAAAAAAAAGAAAGCAATAAAGGACTACTCGCTTTTTTTTCTTTTCTTCGCTTCCTTCACCCATAACGTATCTACACTTAACAAGTGAAAAAAAACCCCTGTCAACAACCTCCTACCTACTGTGTCCCATAAAACATATTTCAAGGTTATATTATGTAGCTTTTCTTTCTACATTTGTAGATTTTCTGCGATCAAAAAATGGAATATCTATACATATTCCTTGTATTAATCTCATGTATTTCTTATATTCATACACAAAAATTTACAGGTAAGTGTAAAATAAGAATTTATTATTCATTTTTTATCATTATCCATTGCAGAAGAAAGTCCATATATGTTAATTCGTTTAATGGATCTTAAAGTACACGAGGTTTGTTACAAATACATATTTGTTTGTTTTTATTAATAGCTGTTTTTATTATAGTGGAAACCGGATATGTTAGATAAATTGGAAAAAACACTTGATGCTGAATTAAAGTATAGTGATGACAAAAAAGGCATTCAATGTCGATCAATGTAAGTATATTTTTAATCAATGATTCGTCTTATTTTAAATTTTCTTTTTTGTTTTTGCACTATATTAGTGACTTTGAACAAGAAGTTGGTTATCCAAAACAAGATGCACGTTTTCTTGATTTAAGTATTCGAGGTTTATGTAAAGATGACAATGGCAAAGTACATAATATCGATAAACAATTGATGACTGGTATAAATATTCGAAAAAAAAAAAACAAATTCTAATTATCTTTCAATGTTGATTGTATTTTTTAGTCGCTATTGAACGACACGTCGACGAAGTACAAGCAGTGACATCTGGAACTGTTTATCGTGTTGGTAATGTTCAATTTTATAAACGTGATAGAAATAAACTTAATTTAATTATTATACCTATTTCCGTTGCATTAACAATTCTTCTTTTTGTTGTAACATTTGTTTTACGCCGATTAAGGTTTGTTGATTTATCTATTTATCTTTTTTGTTTTAATTTTGTTAATATTTATTTTATTTTGCAATATAGACGTGCACAAAAACGTCGTCATATTGTTTCCGAATTAGAAAAGAAAAAAGGAGCTAATACTAAACAAGATCCAACAACAGTAGCTAATGTTGATCCACTTGCAAAAGAAAACGAACGTTTATTACAACTAGATCCAAATGTTGTTGGTAATGCATCGGATACATTAGGTAGTCCAAAAGAATTTACCAATGATCAATATCCAAGTACAAGTCGTACTAATCCATCTGCTAGTGATTATAATCGTGAATATAAAGGCGCTCCAATAACACCACCAAGAGAAAATCGAACATTAAACTATAATCAAGATAATGATACATCATTTCAAAATCAACGATCAACTAGACCAGATCGTGAACGAATGTATGCGCCTTATGAAAATGAAACAAGATTTTTACCAAGTCAATCACAACCTCAATATGAACAACAATATCCAGATATGATTCCTATGCAAGAACAACAACCACGTGTCGTTGTTCGAACAATACGTGAGGATGGAAATCAACCATCATATTATCAAAAATACGAAGAACCGCCAACAAGATTTGTACCTATTCCAGTACAAGTTGAACGAAGTGGTCCTCATCAAAGATTTGTTCCACCGCCTTATCATTCCGATCCTTATTATCGACATACCAATGCTTAACTACATATATGAATATTATATTTCAAAGAATCTGAAAACAATTTCTAGACTTACTGTTTGTATATACTAACTCATGCACTTTAATCTTAACACGTAGATTTTCATAAATACTCACACATTTCAAATAAAAGTTTTCTTACTGACCAATTTTCATCTCTTGTAGTATGATTCAATATACAAATATTTCATGTCTGTGATTTGTACAATGAAACTTCAAACAAACCAAGTTGATATTATAATGTCTTTGATTATCTCTAAATCTTAGGCGATTTGTATATTAAAAAAAATTCTATAGTTATAGAATTTAATAATTAAAAAAGTAATATATTATATTCACAAGCTAAACCCGTTACTTACAATAGAAGAATTTGAGTCTTCTACACTGTCTCATTTATTGTTCTAATTTTTAAATAAGACAATTTTTCAAAAACCAATTTTGAGAGCAGAGGAAGAAATTTGTAGCTTCAAACTCTAAGTACTTGACATATTTCGATGTAAATATACTAATTAAAGTTTCCTTATCAAATGTCGACATATCTGATAAAAAACACAACAAAAGGATGTTCTGCTTTATTTTAGTCAAGAATTATCATAGACTACTTCTTCTAATTGATATGACAAATGACCTTAATTATCCGACAATGATCAATGAAATGATACAACAATAAACAGGACAATATGTTTTCCTCTTTTTGGTACACCTCCACATGCATTAGAGATTTCATTTCAAGTTCGTTCGATAGAGAATTTTCATGATTTAATACTGTTGACTTTGTTTTTATCATACGCTTTTTTCTTATCAGCGTAAGATTTAAAAGACTATTACCTACTGCAATATCCTGTTTTATGGAAATAGCTATCAATTAATGCAAAAATATTAGCTCCTCATTTCCGATGCTAAAAATATAGTATTTAATATCAATATCTTGAGAACTTTGTATTCTATTCTCCCATGACTATTTCAAGGTTGCTAATACTATTGTTCCAAAAATAATGGCTTGAAACTAACATCTGACAATGTTTTATATATTCATTTTGAGAAATCATGTGTCTCAAGAAGTAGACTTAATCTATCAGTTGTTTATTTCCATGCGATCAGAAGTAAATTTTATTTTGAACAAAATAATATGATTGTAAAATTGCATATTTAAAAATGTGAGATTGGTTTGACATGAAAAAGCTATTATGGCAAAGATATATCGCGAGAGGGATTTTTTGGAATTTCCACATTTTTTATTTTAAATTTTTTTCTAAGAAATATTTCTTCTAGGATTACAAGATATACATGAAAAGATACAGAATTTTATGAAGACCATTTTAATATGCTTGAAATTTTCTTGAGAACTCTTATCAACAACTTTTCATAACTTTTTCTTTTCTTTGATCATCACATTTGGACATTTGTAAGTGTTTATATTTTCAAATTTTACGTTAATAACAAAAGAAAAAAAAACATATTATGCTAATGAAGTCAACAGTTTGGCAGTGCGAAAAATTTCGTATCGAATGAATTTGAAAACCAAATCTTTAATATATAGGTAAGTACTCTAGAAGAAAGAAAATATTGTCATCCGTTTATTATGCATGAACTGGTTGAATATTCTTCTTAACTTCACTTAATCTATATGATATTATCTGATAAACATATGTTAAATTTTGTGATAATTCCATCAAATAATTCTATAAAATTAAACATATACTTTTCATTTATCAACATTATAAATGTAAGATTTCAAAAATTATGAATAGAAAACAAATCGAAGCCAACTTTGACAATGAATATATATCATAAATCTATTAATTGACTCATCTTCAATCAAGTATAATCTTCATATAATATCCTTTTCGACCGATGATCTTTAATAATCTTCTCATTCAAAAATAAAACAGAGAAGATAACAAGGCACGAAATAGACAGCTCGATCGAGCTTTATATCTTTTTCAAGAAAGACTTCATATGTAAGAAAATAGAAAAAATCCGATTTTAATCGAGTTCTTTCTAACTAACAAAATTGATTGAAACGGTACTAGTTGAATACTGTAAAAATCTGTTTTTTTTTAACTATGCAGATAAATTTCATTTTGATTTTAGTCTTTTTTAGTCGATTTTGAAAAAGAAAACAGTTTCAATGGATCAGAAAAAGAATAAAAACAATTGAAGTCTATCTTTAAACCTGAACAATCAGAATTAAACTGCATCATTTGAATCATATTTGACTCAGGAAATAATTGATTTTATTCTTACTTTTCATGGGTTTTGCACTTCCCAACTGGCAACAATCAGGAATCCTTATTATGCGAACGTTTCGAAAATTTCGTTTAGTTGATAAATAAAAGTCGAGCATTTATTCAGTTGAATGATATTCTTCATATAGACACACAAAACTGATCGCATATTAAGTGACATGGGTTTTTGCTGAAGTGAAATAGTACTAATTGTGTTCTAAAATAAACAGTGTAACTAAAATTAGTAACACATCTGACTTTTTAAAATTGATCAGCGAATATTTTAATTTTGAAAACTTATTTTAATAAATGATAGTCTTCAAAAATTTCGAGCATCTACGATCGCATCTTGATCTTTCAGTTCAATAAGTAATTCGACTTATCTCTTTGCTGTGTTTTTTTTTTGAAACATTAAAATTGCTCGACTTTATTCAACCTGTGATTACTCCGATAGTGAACTTTTTAAATGACTACCGTAATTGTAGAGTTTCATCGTTTAGAAACCCTTTGTGTTCTAGAAATATAATTTTATTAATGTCATCCTAAGTTGGATCGGACCATCATAAAAAAAACTCGATTTTGAGGGCTGCAAGACAATCAATATACATATAATTTTTTTCAAATCTTCGTTTATTTTTTCAAATATAGTCCATCATGCAATACAGAAACATTTAAATAAAAGGCTATTGATTCTATTTAATGAAAAGAAAATAGACGATTGTTTAACTTGTTTTAATCTACGATATGAAATTTTTTCATAGCGTTCCACATATCTTTTGTATCTTGTTGTGCTTCTTTCGTTGCATTTGCAGAATAATCAAGACAATCAACCTCCCACATACCAATACCAAATAAATGTCGATCATTTGCAAGATCATATTTAATTAAAAGTGTTTCAGGATCATCCATCCAAACTTGATGTATATATCCATCTTGTTGATTAATATAATTAAAAAAGACTCCACCTGTTCGATTATCAATTAGACGACCAGTTGTAGAATTCACACGTAATAATTGTCGACAATATTGATAATCATGCTGAACTCCAGCTGCATCTGAACATGGTGCACCCCGAAAAGGAACGTGTTCAATTGCCTATGGAAAAAAAAGAAACAATCAATAAATAATATATAAATGAATGATAATTATATACACAAGTCATATTAGTATCAAGTGATAAACATTTATAATCATAACAATACCAAGGTACTACAAAAAAAAAACGAAACAATTCTTTGAAAATAACAAAAGACAATGAATGACTTACCACCAAGGACAAGTTTTGACGGTGAAATTTCAAAAATTTGTGTAAAATTACTCAAACCAGCTGCAACTCGAGCAATAGGTGAATTTGCTGAAGCTATACAATCATTTAAATCATATATTTGTGATCGTAAATCATACGCCATGACAAAAAGAAAGTCACTAGCACTTGCTAAACCCGTGTAATCATAACAACGACCATCAATACAAGGTGCACTCCAAGCAATATCAACACTGACCTTTATATGAGATCTCATCATTATATATACATTCGGTATGCATCAAGAATATAAGATCAGAAAGTTTTTTCATAAGATACCAAGTATTTCACTCAATTTCAAATAATGTCTTGAATACCCAATGAAGTTGTCTATCACATGCATTCCATACCGAAATTTCATAGATGAACTAAAAGAGGAAGGTATCTTACAAAGCAAACATAGTATCTTGCAGGTTCTCGAAGACTATGCAAAAATTAGATTTTTAAAGCATCATTTTAAAGAATGTAAAATCCAGAATAAAATGTGGCGTCTCGACTTATCCATCCATTTTCCGTTAAAAAGTTATCAGTATCACAAATAACAAAACAAATATGCGATTTTTAACAACGCTATGATAAATTTTGCTATTTCTCATTTTTTGTCATGTTGATAACTTTTAAAGAAAATGTTGTAGGAAATGCAGCCACTTCCTATTTTTTAACAAGACTTTGTGCTCTTGAAGATAGTACTCTTAACAAATAATTTGTGCATAGTCGTATGAGACTTCTCAATTACATTGCTTGTTTTTTCAGAAATATTCTACTTATAGTCTATTCGCAGCATTTCGATATGAAATGTATTTGATAGAAAACTACATAGGCAATTCGAATCACTATTTCAATTCGAGATAAATGCTTGGTATGATAGAAAAACATATGTTGGTCTTATATTTGTGACTAGTAATGTACATATATAATATCATTGATATAGAATAATCTTACTTTTGATCCGGGTACTTGTACATGTATAAGATTAGAAACTTCTTGAACAAGTTGCGTATATTGATATGCTGCCTCACTACGATCAGCAATTTCATCTTCCATATCAAGATTAAGACCATCCGTAAAAGTCTTCTTTACTTTATTCACGTACATATTAATCCATTCAGTTCGAGCTGTTACATTATCTAATTGTTTTACATCATAATTAGCAAGCCATACAAGACGAACCTGTCGTGAATGTGCTAAACAAAGAAGTTGAGGATCAAAATCATCTGTACATATGATGATTGTTGTTAATTGTGAATAATCATATGAACGCCAATTAGAATTTGATACCATAAAAGCTATTTTCTCATGACGAGATCCAACTTGAAGTGATTGACATAGAGAAATATCCGGACATGGACATTCACTTGTTATTGAATTTATACAAGCAATAACAATCAAAAGAATGACGAAGTTTAACATCTGGAATGAAAAGAAAAAGAGAGTAAAGCAAATAGATACATTTCTTGACAAGATAATATATCTATTATATGAATCATCAATAGATATGTAATATCGACCTCGTCACATTTTATGCAGAGTGAAACTAATATAGTCAAAGAAACTTCTCTACACTTTATCAAAATTTGGAGAAAACAATAATTGAATAATAAATAGAAAGTCATTAAATTTTTTATAACTGCTAAATCTGAATTGTTTGATTCTAACAAGACTACTACACTAAAATCTTCCATAGTGAACACCTCCGTATAGTGGACATTTTTCAAAGCTTCAGCTATTAATCTTTTGCTGGAAATGAATTTCTCTACATTGAACACTGTCATATAGCTCTGTGGTGAATACTTTCGACAGGTCCCAATCATGTCCACGATAAGGAAATTTTACCATGTTTTAACCACTTAATTTTCCGAGAAAACAATGAAAAGACAAGTAATATAACGACACCTAATTACTTTATTCACTAACATTCTTCAGAGGACGAGAGAACTAGTCTGTTCTGTGTAAAAAAAACTTGCCTTTAGAAAAAAACTTAACTTCCCTATGGCGGACACTTGAAAATTCCGCAAGGTGTCCACTATAGAGAGATTTCAGTGTAATTTTATTTAAAGAAGCTATTAAAAAAGCATCATATGTTCAAATTAGTCGACTTTCCATGAGCAACTCTTCAGGAAGTCCCGACAGATTAACGAAGTCTTCAGTAAGTCCCTGTTCGGAACCTCCGAGAAGTTGTGCGAAGTACGAGAAAATCCGTGATACAATCTCTGTCGATGGTTTCAAGAAATAAAGAAAACAGCAAGAAAGTCTTTGAGTAAGTTTCTAGATAATTCCTGAAGAATTCCTAGGAATTCCTCAGATAATCGTTCAGGTAGTTGCCATGGATCCTTCATGCATTCTCCAAATACTATCTCAAATATATTCTTGCTGTTTTCTTCTTCATTTCTTGGAATTCCGACAGTTTCTATCCCAGATTTTCTCGTGCATCGCTCAATTGCTCGGGGACTTACTGAGAACTTCGTTAATCTGTCGAGACTTTCCGGGGTATTGTCTAGGGAGACTTGACTAGGACAAAAACCATAATCGGTTATATGTTGATAAATTGCATAATTTACACGGTTTCAAATATAAAAAAACCATATTCAAAGACATGATACATCAAATAAGTAACCAGTGCAAATGAAAATTAATAATTTTACATAAATCAATACAAGCAGTTTTTTGCTTCACAATTTTTGCTATTATTAAAAAAAAGAATACGGTTCTTAAGAATTTTGAAATGGGAATATATCAAGCCAGATTGACGGATACATTTATCCGTCTTTTCATCGTAACCGTACTTCATACTCCAAGTAAACTGAACGTATTTTCTCGTTATCTTGGGTACAGTAGTACGGTATTGTATGCAATCGTATATGTGAGGTAATCTCACCACCATACGGTTGTATTTCTCCGCGAGCATGTAGGTGTGGATTTGTATGATGTGTAAGTGAAGCGTCTGTGGGTCTTAGGTCTTATTATTGAATTCAAAGATGCCCATCCCACAAATCGACAGCTATACCTACAACCACACTACGCTCACATTTCACACCGATACTCGCATTCATACCCCAATCAAAGTCCAATTCAAACAAGATTTATTAATATTTAAAATGGTAAACGTTATGACAACTTTTCAATGTCGAATTCAGGAAAATTCTACAGTCTTACATTCTATTAGCATAGAATAATTCCTTTGATGAAACATTTCAAATTAGATTTGATTGAACAATAAACAATTTCACACATTAAAATTTATTTTTGAAAGTTACATGAATAGAATTAATAATTAGTATGACGACCACTAGTATTGTTTCCAACACGAAGACATGATGGTATGAATACAAAAAAGTTTCAAATAATTTAATATTTGTTTCAAGACAACAGCATCGATTTTTGGACTAACGATAGCTAGTAAGGGAACTATCTCTCAATTATATATGACTGAGTATATTGAGACAAATGAACAAGTATGATTGAGAAAATAAATACCATTAGAAACGGAACATTTTTTTGTCAAATGTAAATGCTGCAAAAACACGTTTCAGATGTTCTGACAAATATGGAAACAGATGTCGAGCTATTTAAAACTTGTTTATAGGCGTATCTGTTACGTCTTCTTGGAGGAAAAATGTTAATGGTCATTATACTAATGCTTGATTGCATTCATTAAGCTTTCAAAAGTAAAATATATTTGATGATATTCTTCATTTTTCATTAGATCTAGTTTGAAGTGTCCGCTCAACAAGAAATCATGCTATGCTGCTGGGTCAAACTTACAAGGGAACCTTTTCAAATTCCCCTTTCCGATTTCAATAATTTTCACCAATAAATACTACATTGTGTTCTATATAGAAATCCTAGAAAGACTTGGATTTCTATTGAGATTCAACTAAGTTATTGAATTTTTAATGTCTCTTTTCTAAGGGCCCAGGTTTTCGAAAAAGTCGTATTTTGAAATTTTGATCTGAAACTTGGTCCACATAGAAAACTCAACTAGATTAGCTTTCATAAAAAAGTTTCAGAAATCTTGAACAAAATCTCTTCGAGATAAAAATCTTTCAAAAAATGCATATTGGATAGACTATCCATGAAAATGGCCTATATCTTGAAAGTCTGATATCTCGAACAGACCTTGTTCAAAATTTCTGAAACCTTTTTTATGAAGAGTAATTTAATTGAGTTGTCTATTTAAGCAAATTTTCAAATCAAAGTTTAAAAAATTACGAGTTTCCTGAAAATCGGGGATCATCAAAAAATAGTCATATGAAAAATTTGACAGCTTTAATCAAAGCTCAATAAGGATCCAAATCTTTTTAAGATTTTTACTAAAACAATAGTTTTTGTCTATAAGCAAATAAGATCATAGAAATCAGAAGGGTACATCTGAAAATGCTTCTTGGTTAATAGAAATTTTGCATTGGTTAATGGATACTGTTTCAAAATACAACGTTATCCATGCGGAAAGAAAATATTTTTACGCATTCTGTACATGCAAGCTATGTTATTTGTTAGTTTCTTCTTATTTTTTTTTTTGCTTTAACCTCATTATTTCTTATGTTGACATTTAAATTGTATTCTATATATTAATCAAAAGTAGAAGAAATAGACATGCGCAAACTTATATTCTGTAAAGAAAAAAAAAACGATAAATGTCTTAACACCACCCATAGACACGAAAACCAGTGTTTGATCTACAAGATCAAACAAATAGACAACAATAATAATATACATATAAGAGAAGAAAAAAAAAAAAGAGAAAAGAAAGAGAAAAACCATCATCCACTTTTCGCCGGGGTAATATATCTTGCTGTTGAAGATTTGTCAATTGATAATGAAGAAGATGTTTCCATAATTGAATCATCATATTGTTCGCCTTCATCACTTAGTTTTTCTTCTAGAACGAGACACATGTTATTATTAAAAAAAGAAGAAAAAAGGGAATTTATTTACGATTTTCTTCGTCATCATAATAAGTAGCTTTTATTCCATCGACAATATTTAAATGATCACGTTGTAAATGATCTTTTATTGATGCAACATGTAATATACATTTTCTACAGTGTTTAAATTTTGATTGTATAGTACGTCCTTGATCAACCTTATTAAAATGAAGTAATAAATGTTTATATGCTGATGTACCATTTAATATATTTGTTGAATTTATCATAAATGGTAATTCAATAGCAAGAAAACAATATGGACAAAAAAAATATCGTGTTCCTTTATGTACTTCATCAATATGATAGATCATATCAGCATGCATTGATGTACGAAATGAACATACTTCACAAAAATAGGGCATCTCCAAACCACAATGACAAAGATTTAAATGTGCTATTAATTCTAATAATGATGTATGACGTTGTTCACATATACGACATGGATATTCATTCATTTCAAGCATATGTTTATCATCAATATGTATAGCTAAAAAATATGGATTAGAAAATTCTGATTGACAATGTAAACATTTTGTATTAATTTGTTCAAATGGTGAATTCGATTGAAATTGACGTTCATTATTATTTTGTTGTTGTTGTTGTTGTTGTTGATCAAAATGTTGACATAAATGACTTATTAATTGAATATTATTTTCGAATATTAGATCTTCACAAACAGGACACTAGAATATTTAAAGATTTATAAGAAAATAACAAAACAATTTTTCTTTTCTTTTCATTCATACTTGACTTCGAAAGTCTCCATAATCAGATAAAGGTAAATTTCGACCGGGTTTTTGACCATAATATTTAGATAAAGCTCGTTTATATGTATGTTCTAGAGGAAGAAAATGATTATTTTATTAATTTTATAAAAAAAGAATATTTACCAAGTTCGACTTCAAGACCTTCTTCTATATGAAAAAAAATTGCAGATGAAATTTTTTTTTTAAATAAAGTGAAAGAATTGATTTACCTCTTGTTCTAACTGTGCCTGGTTTAAGACGAGGTAACGGTTGATCACGTGGATATTGTGTTGAAGCATTTGGTGCAAAAGCTGGTTGTAGAAAAGGAATAGTTGCTTTACGTGTTGGTTCTGGCTTAACAAATTGTGTTTGATAAAATTGTCCACGTGTTGGACGTTGTTGATTACTGTTTGTATGACGTTGCTGTTGTTGTTGTAATGGCATGGATTGCCGAATATTTCGATAAGAATTTGCATTATTACCACGTTGATATGTTGATGAATAATTATTTACTGTTGAATTAGGTCGTTTTGACCATGGTAATCGATCATCTTGTTGACGATTAACCCAATCACGATCACGTATTGTATCATCTTGATCAACTTCATCTAAATTCCAATCGTCTAAATCTTCTAATTCATCCGGATCATCATCAATATATGTTGAACGATGAATTGAAGGTGGTTGTAATGGTGTATTTGGTGGATAACGTGGATGTATACGAGGACGACCAACAGGA